ATTGAAAGATCTAGAAAAAAAAAGAAGCAGATACACCCAAGAGGAGCAGACAGATGGAAATAATCAAACTCAGGGCTGAAATCAAGAAATTAGAATCAAATAAAACTCTTCAAAGAATCAATGAAACAAAGAGCTGGTTCTTTGAGAAAATTAACAAGATAGACAAACCCTTAGCCAAACTAAAAGGCAGAGAAAAACTATTCAAATCAGCAAAATCAGAAATGAAAGGGGGACATAAGCATAGACACCAAGAAAATTAAAACAATCCTCAGGTCTTACTACAAAAGCCTATATGCCACAAAATTTGAAAATCTAAATGAAATGGACAATTTCCTTGATAGAATTCATTTACCAATATAAGTCAAGATCAGGTAGAAAGAGTTAATAGTGCTATATCCCCCAAGGAAATAGAAGCAGTCAAAAAAAAAAATCTCCCTTCAAAAAAATCCCTGGGCTATGTGATTTCTATGCAGAATTCTACCAGACCTTCAAAGAAGGGCTAACTCCAATTTTCTTCAAACTATTCCACAAAATAGAAGCAGAAGGAACATTACCAGACTCATTCTATGAAGCCAGTCACCTTGATACCTAAACCACACAAAGACCCAACAAAAAAAGAGAACTCCAGACCTCTCTCTCTTATGAACATCGATGCAAAAATACTCAATAAAATACTTGCAAACCAAATCCAAGAACACATCAAAGATATCATCCACCATGACTAAGTAGGCTTCATCCCAGGCATGCAAGGGTGGTTCAACATACAGAAATCCATCAATGTAATCCACCATATAAACAAACTGAAGGAGAAAACCCACATGACCTTAGATGCCGAAAAAGCATTTGACAAAGTCCAACACCCATTCATGTTTAAAGCCTTGCAGAGATCAGGAATACAAGGTATATACCTAAACATAGTAAAGGCAATATACAGCAAGCCTATATCCAACATCAAACTAAATGGAGAGAAACTTAAATCAATCCCATTGAAATCAGGGATAAGGCAAGGCTGCCCACTCTCTCCATATCTTTTCAACATTGTACTTGAAGTCCTAGTTAAAGCAATAAGACAACTGAAGGAGATTAAAGGGATACAAATTGGAAAGGAAGAGGTCAAATTTTCACTGTTCACAGGTGATATGATAGTATACATGAGTGAGCCCAAAAATTCTGCCAGGGAACTCCTACAGCTGATAAACACCTTCAGCAAAGTGGCTGGATACAAAATTAACTAAAAAAAAAAAAAAAAAAAAAAAAAAAAAAACAGAAGCCCTCCTGTATACCAAAGACAAAAGGGCCAAGAACGAAATTAGGGAAACAGCACCCTTAACAATAGCCACTAATAACATAAAGTACCTTGGGGTGACTCTAACCAAGCAAGTGAAAGACCTGTTTGAAAAAAAACTTCAAGTCTCTGAAGAAAGAAATTGAAGACGATATCAGAAGTTGGGAAGATCTCCCGTGCTCATGGATCAGTAGGATTAACATAGTAAAAATGGCCATCTTGCCAAAAGCAATCTACAGATTCAATGCAATTCCCATCAAAATACCAGCACAATTGTTTACAGACCTTGAAAGAAAAATTCTCAGCTTCATATGGAAAAACAAAAAAACCCAGAATTTCCAAAACGATCTTGTAGAACAACAGATAGTCTAGATATATCTCCATCCCTGATCTCAAGCTGTATTACAGAGCAATAGTTGTAAAAACTGCATGGTATTGGCATAGAAACAGAATGGTGAATCAATGGAACCAAATTGAAGACACAGAGATAAACCCACACACCTGTGGATACTTGATTTTTGACAAAGAAGCCAAATCCATTCAATGGAAAAAAGACAGCATCTTCAACAAATGGTGCTGGTCCAACTGGATGTCTACATGCAGTAAAAGGAAAATAGGTTCATATTCATCATCCTGCACAAAACTAAAGTCCAAGTGGATCAAAGACCTCAACATAAAACGAGACACACTAAATCGGTTAGAAGAAAAAGTGGGAAGAGCCTTGAACTCATTGGCACTGGAGACAAGTTTTTGAACAGAACACCAACAGCACAGGGTCTAAGATCAACAATCAATAAATGGGACCTCATGAAACTGAAAAGTTTCTGTAAAGCAAAGGACACTGTACTCAGAACAAAACGACAGCCTACAGACTGGGAAAGGATCTTCACCAACCCTATATCTGACAGAGGGCTGATATCCAGAATATATAAAGAACTAAAGAAGTTAAAAAGAAATAAATCAAATAATCCAATTAAAAAACGGGGTACAGAGCTAAATACAGAATTCTCTGTAAAGGAATATAGAATAGCAGAGAAACACTTAAAGAGATGCTCAACGTCCTTAGCCATCAGAGAGATGCATATCAGAACTTTTTTTTCCCTGTTGATGATTAGCTCAATACCATGTATACAACTTGGGACATGACTACATTGAAATTCTTTGTAAAGTAAAAGTAACATCTTCCATAAATATAGGGTATATAGACTGACTAACACAACAAGCTCAAGACAAAGGTCTTTTGGAGGATCTGGTGTGGTCTCTGCTACAGAGTTATCACAGAAGTCACTAGGCTATTAACCATGTTTACTTCCAGACTTCTGGAGAAAAAGCAGGTTATCACTCCCTTTGAAGAGAACACCCTGTGTATTTAACATTTCTGGTTCCTCTAGTGCTTTTCTATTACCCCCAAAACCTCTGTGCCTCTAATACATAGGTATATGGATTTACGTCTAAGTCTTCAATTTGATAGATTGATCAACATGTTTTTTTCTTGGGAATACTGTTCCAAAATGCTGTTTTGATTACTATAGCCCTGTAGTATAGTAATTTGAGATCAGAGATGGTGATACCTCTAGCAGTTTTTTTCCTTTTTTATTTTTTATATTAATTACAGTTTATTTACTTTGTATCCCAGCTGTAGCCCCATTCCTCATTCCCTCCCAATCCCACACTCCCTCCCTTGTCTCCTCCCTGCCCTTCTCTAAGTCCACTGATAGGTGAGGTCCTCCTCCCCTTTCATCTGACCCTAACTTATCAGGTCTCTCCAGGACTGGCTGCAATGTCCTCCTCTGTGGCCTAGATAGGTTGTTCTTCCCACGGGGGCGTGGGGAGGTCAAAGAGCTAGCCACTGAGTTCATGTCAGAGACAGTTCCTCTTCCCCTTACTAGGGAAACCACTTGGATACTGAGCTGCCATGGGCCACATCCAAGTAGGAGCTCTAGGAGAGAGCTTTTGCAGGGAACTGTGTCAAAGGTCATATTCTAGATATGGTTAGAGGCATCTGTTTCTCATCTCTGGATGAGGTCAGGCAGAGACAAAAAAGGACCCACAGAGAAAGGGAGTCCTCCATTCTGCATGGAGCTTCAGGAAAGCAGTTTGGACATGGTGGACTCCAACCTCACACAGCAGGGTCCTCTAACAACCATGTCTTTTCAAAGCATGAGAAACCCTAAGACAGCCAGATATGGAAAACCTCCTTTTGAGCTGTTGGTCAGGGGAGTCCAAGGGAAACACACACACACAACACCCATACTTAAGGTTCTTGGAGTACCACAGAAGAGGGTACAGAAAGATTTTTAATAGCCAGAGGAGCAGGACACCAGCTAATATATGTTTTCTAGATATGATTGTACCCATGGAATCTCAACAGTAGGTTGCCCAATCAAGAACTGCGTAATGTCCCCACCATTTGGCATGCCAATGTGGATGGGAAAAATTCACAAGGCTCAACTCTTAGATGAAGAGCTACAGGCAATTAATGGTTGCTAAGAGAGAAAGATTACGGTTTCTTCAGGAATGAGTCCCTTTTAGGTTATTCAGTCCCAAGTGGTCAGCCCTAAATGTGTTCATGTGAGCAACACTAAATGCATTCAGTATGTTATATAATATAATGTCTAAATGTAGACATATGTATAAGTGTAACAATAATAATCGAATAAGAGGTCATATATTTGAGAGGGAGTAGGGGACACAGGTGGAATTGGAGGAAGACATGAAGGAATGGAAATATAAATACAATACTCATGTATGAAGTTCTTTTGAAAAATTGATTTAAAAAAAAAAAGATTTGTAAAGAAGGTAAAGTTACCACAGTCCAACGATCCTTTGAAGGCTTTGAATCATTCCTGTGTGCATCCAAAAATCCTCCCAAAGAAACTGCTTTTAGTGATTAGAAACCTGAGAATCTCATCAGGGCCAAAGCAGAGCTTTCCCTGCTTCACTACAGACTACCTACTTACTGTTTCTACCAAGGGTCTTGGTTTCTGACCTTTGTTTTGTTATATAAAGCTTTCTGAAACTATTGTGTTGGAACATGGGATTTGGGGTTAACCACGAAGCCATTTTTTTCCCTGCTTCACTTGCCAGTTATAACAGGTTTAATTTCATGGTGCATGCTCTATCTTAAACAATTAAGTCGGCGGACTGAAAGTTGGCATCTGAACCTTGCTGTGTGTAGGTACGGGGGAAGCGACAGTGTCTGAGAGGAAGTAAGAAAGGACACTGTAGTTAGTATCAATTTTATATGGGTAAAGGGCTCACTTCAAAGATGAGATCCATTGTGGGGTTCAAAGATGAGGTCCATTGTGGGGTCCAAAGATGTGGTTCTAGCAGATCCATGCAGAAAAATGTTGGCATAAACCTACATCAACCTTTTGCAGTCAGCAGTCCTTTCCTTGAGGTTTAACTGTCCATCCCATGACGCTGGGGCGGGGTGCACAGCCCACCTCACCTGCAAGAACCACAGTGAGAATGTCTCTGGAGGGTGGAAACTTCAGGAATGCCCAGTAATGGGCTCATCGGTATCCATCCCCCAGCCTCTCAAACCTGGTGTTCTTTAAAAACCTTCCTAGGACTACGGAAGCAAGACAAGATGGTCTCCTGCGGGAGAGGAGACACCTGGCAGTCTTAGCAGCCCAGCCCCCTGCCTCCGCGACCGGCAGCGCGCTCCACAGGCCGCCCGCAAGCGCGCACCCGTGCGGTGGGTCGGGGGCGCGCGGCGAGGGCGGCCTGGCACGTCCTCGAGCTCCGCGGGCACTACGTGCGTCCTTCTGCCGGCGTCTGCTGTTTTTTCCGGGATCCGCACGCCTATCGCGGGGTGCGGACCGGAGCCCGTCGTGCAGCCGGGCTTCCGAGGGGCCTCGTGGGAGCCATGAGCCGCCGCCTCGGCTGGGTGGCGGCCCTGCTGCTGGAGCTGCTGCTGGAGGTAGGGCCGCCGGCTCCCCGCGCCTCCTGGAGCGAGGATGCAGGAAGGGCAGTCGGGGCGCTCGCGGATCTGCGGTGTGGGGCGACGGAGGGGCCTGGTGCCGAGACCCCTAGCCGTGCCTGCGCGCTGCCTTCTCCTGTCTGCGCCCCGCTGTTTGTTGGGGTTTGCAGCCCTGGGGGAGGGACCTTTGTGCCCGTCCTCATGGTCTCCCCGCCGCACAGGGCCTGGGGCGGCGCCGACTGCAGCTGGTTGGAGGGAGAAGGACTTTGCTTTTGGAGGCTTTTAGAGGCGAGGAGAAAAATTCCACGAGGAGCAGGGGTGGTGGGCGTACTGAGGGCGTACGGCAATTCCGTAGCCGCGGGAATTGGATGGTGGGTGGAGGCGCCGCCGATGCGCAGCCAGGGTTAGACCGTGGCTGTAGTCGCCTGACCTGCAACATCCTGTGATGTGAGCCATCCTTTCTACTCCAGCGGGTTCATTCAAAGGCAAAAGAGTAGACTTCTGGATTGGAGTTTGAGGGGTTTTGTTCACGCTCCTACAGCTTCACTATTATGAAAGAGTTTTGCATTAACAAAGTCAGTGTAAATGGGTAATGATATCCCTGGACCTTCTGGTCCTGCCTTAGATCTGTAAACTTCTTTGGTTGAGGAGTCAGCAGTGCTGGGAAGGACTTACTGACTTTCTCAAAGATGCTAGAGGGAAAGCCCTTTGAAAGGAAGGTTAGTGTAACAGTTTCTCCTTGCTCTAAATTCCAAAACAGAGCAGGGATTACTGACTTTTCTTCGAAATCTCTCTTACTGGACATTTAGTAGTTTTTGAAAAGTGCCACCTCTGGCATTCTTTCCACTTGTTCATATTTTCAAAAGCTTGATTCTACATTGATGGCTGTGGAAAAGGGAACCAGAGACCACTGTTTACAAAAATAAACATACATTTACCATAACACATCTCTGCCAATTTTTGTAATCTGATAAGCTCCTGTGTGTGTGTCTGTGTGTGCAGTACTTGATAAGATTATCTGCTGTTCTCTTATTTCAATGTTTTTGCCACTCTTGTCTTCTACCTAGCTTTGTGTGTATCCTAAAAGGCTGCTTCAAAGCCCTTTTTTTTGGGGGGGGGAGGTAGGGGTTCTTACTGTTTGTGTTTATTTTTTCTTTTTCTTTTCTATCTTTTTGTATCCCAGTAGTGTTTAGTAGTGAAATAAACAGGAGAGAGAGGCCAAGACCCTAGGGCTTTACATTGAAGGGCTAGAAGTGGAAATGCCTCCAAATTGAGTCAATTCAAATAGCTTCTGGGAAAAAAAAAGAATCAAAAGTAACCTCAAATATGACAACGTATGGTTGTTGCTTGTCATCAGTTTTTATTTTCAACTGTTAATTTACTGCTTTGTTGATTTGATGCCATCATGGTGAGGTTGTGTAGGATTCCTTCTCTGCTGATTTAAAGAATAAGAAGGAAGTAAAAACAAGCTCTCAGCACCCAGCCGAGTTTTATTGCAGGCAGAAATATACACAGGGAAAGAGAGAGATGGGGGTGGCTGGTGTATGAACTCTAAGGGGGTCCAGATCTGAGAATCAGAGCTTGCGTGGCAGAGCATGAAACTTTCATGTTTGGAGGTGGGGTGAGTTCCTTCTTACCCTCTTAATTGGCTGTTTTGGGCTGCTCCAGGAGATTGGATGCTCCAGACAAAGAAAGGGAAGCTGATTGGTTCCTATTGTAGGAAACTCCCCCTACCCCTCTTGTGGGAGATTTGAAAGCCCACTGAATAATTTTTGTCAGGAAAAAGCCCACTAATGAGGGAGAAGGAGCAGGAAGTGTGTTGTCTCAAATGTTCAAGTGAGAAATATATTAATCCACCTAGAACCTCATTTCCCTGTGTATTTGCCTGCTAGGGATCTGTCTAAAGCCTAACCATTAGTGTAGAAGGTTTTGTTCTATCCTGTAAGCTGTTTCATTGCAGTTGCATAGGAAGTTTTTTCAAGTGCCAGAAATGGAACTCAGGACCTCACAGTCTTGAACATAGTATCAAACAAGGTATTCTACCGTGAGCTGCATTCCTGGATTTGTTCATTTAATTAATTTTTATTTCCTTAGCTGCTAGAAAAGCCTAGGGCTTCTTACACATGCTAGTCCCTGGTTGTTTTTTTAAGACAGGATCTTCCTATGTAACGCAGGCCTCAGTTTCCCAGTGCTGTGATTACAGAGGGGTCACCATGTTGGCATATTTTATCTTAATAGTGAACGTAAAATTTCTTTGAAAAGTTTGAAAAGCCCAGAAAGGCAGAGACCTTATGCTTTCACTAAGTTCACTGCCTGTATGCTTACTTTCTAGGTAGCCCACTTATATACGATGCCTCTCCTTATCCTGATTTCTGGTAGAGAGATGTGCTCCAGTGATTTCTAGGACAACCAGGGCCATACAGAGAAACTCAGTCTGAAAACAAAAACAAAAAAAGATTTCTTAACAGTTTATCCCATGCAAGTGTAAAGAGAGGTCTCAATCTGAGTGTTTTCATCTTAAAACTGTCTGCTTTGAATCTTTTATCTGCGTACCTTTGGTGCTCTTGGTGGCTTAAATGTGCAGTCATGGTTAGAGAGCCTGTACACAGGTAGAGGGTCCCCTCTGAGAACCTGAAAACAGCTGGCGAAGGCCTTTCATGGCTCCATCTTCTGTTGACTGACACTCAGGGCATCTATTTTTGTTTCTTTGTGTTGCTTGAGATGGTTTCAATATGTGAAATTGTTTTCTAGTTGGCTTTGAGCAGCTGTAATGAAGTTTGGGTGGATATGCCATTTCTGCCCACTGACCATCTTTCATCAATGAATGCTGTCAAAGATCAAGCTTACGAGTTCTATCAGTGAGAAAGCTTTGACTAGAGAATCTTGACAGTTTGAAGTGGACTTTCCTGTCTCACTCTGACTTCTCTTTAAGAAAGTTCCTTGGATGTAGAAAGTTCTATTTCCATTGAGTGAACAGTCAGGGAATAACTTACTCTTACAGTTGAGCCCTGTTCTGAGCACTTTACAAACGCTAATTCACCTTAGCAGGTATCCTCATGCTCATGGTTATTTCAAGTACAAGATATTGTATAATTTGTCTCTCTGCTAATAAGTGAGGGGGTTGAGATATAAACTCAGGCACTTGGTTCTTTTGCTCCTCTACCATTATCTTCTATTGCTTCCAAAGTCTGTCCACATGAGAACATGGAGGGAATACACATCTTGCATTAGCCCAGAGATATTTGCAGAGATGTACATGCCAGCATGCAGGTAAACCATCAGAACTCCTCCCGGAACTTAAGTCAGTCCTTAGAGGGATAATCTAATTTAGTCTAATTTAAATATGACATTTCAGAGAGGGAAGTTGTTTGTGTACTGGATAGCAGGCATCAGCATAAACATTCCAGGAATCCTGGTTGTCCAACTGGACTTCTAGGTCAGGACTTAGAGCAGGAAGAGTCAGATGGCAACACAACCGTGCTGTCATGGATGTATCTTGCAGCCCATTTCCTGGAACCACCCTTCCCACACTTTAGTTTACTGTGAATTATATTATCAGCTAGTGGGAGTTTTTGTCTTAAACTCCCACTACTTCCCAGTCACCGTCTACCACCTAGTTAAATACAAGGTTAAATGCATGTCAGAAATTTAGCATACACTAGAGGTTGGTCACAGACAGGTCCCCACAAATGGGAGAAGTTAAAAGCTCCTTTTGAGTCCTCATATTCTAAGGTTGGATGCTTTTGATGGCTGGCTCCAAAGACCTTCTTATTGGAGAAGAAAACAGGAATCCAGCTTCTATTAGTGCTGGTGGAATAATGTCCTTCACTGGGTCTCCGTATTGCAGAAACAAACTAAAAATCAATTGCACGTTGTTTGAAATAGGAGTAACTACACCCCAAGTGTGGGGGCCTCCCTGGGACTTTTCCTTATGGCACATTGTTTCACCGAATTCTTTCTAGGAGCTAAGTTGGTGACACTCTAGAAATGGATTTAGTTGTTTCAGAGCAAGTGATTTTTGTTGTTGATTGTCAAAATATTTCATGCCCTGGAATTGCAACCCGTGAGTTTTCTAAAAATAAACTTTTCAAGTGTCCTACTTTTAAGAATATTTAAAATCTGAGCAACAGTTCAGTTCAATTCAATTCAATTTGAATAGAAAGGGCAACAGATTCATCTCTGGAAGGTCCAGGGAAGACTGGGCAGCCATATGTGAGGAAAATAAGATGGCAAAGATAGATGAGCCAGTGACACATGTCCACAGTGACAGATGTCCACAGAGTCAGGAGCACTGTCCAGAGCAGGGGCTACAGTTGGCTTTGCTTAGCTTGTGCAGATGATGAAGGCTAGCTGGATGTGGGGATGAGGGTGACATATACAGCAAGACTAGGGGTATAGTCATGGATGGCCATTTAATTAGGTCCATGGACATATAGTTTCTAGCACTTACTTTTATTGTATTCTCTCAGTGTGGCTGGCTGGACCACCCAAATAACTTCCATCCCACTTGCCCTCCCAGGTATCCTTGTCTTTCCACTTAGTCCCTTCCATTCCTAGTACATATCAGCTTTAAGATATAATGGAATTTATCTTCCACCATATAAGCAGTTTGGAGATTAATATTTTAATACTTTTATGAGCTGAAATATCCTAGGAGTCTGGGAGTGTAGCTCAGTGATAGAGTGTTAGCTTTGCATACGCACAGCCTGGAAGTTTATTCTCAGCAGTATAAAAATATATGTAGTACTTGGGATATAATAGAGACTTAGTAAATATTTGAATGCATAAATAGATACATGAGTAAGTAACCACTTGCCAGGAACCAGGCAGTGCTGTGATAGGAGGAGGCAAGTGATAAGGCTCTGAAGAGGGGGTTCCTGTGCAATATACATGCAATTCCTGAGTTTGTTGAATTTGTAAGATAGTCATAGTGAGGGTTTCCTGTCCTCAGTCGAGTTATTTGTTCTAGTTGTCAATCCCATTCCCTTTTCAACTTCCTT